TTTTGAGGTCTCATATGTGCTCAAGCCACACCTAGCGAGACAGACCACTTCCTCTTGCCTGTGAGTCAAGATGTAGAACCCTCAGCTCCTTCTCTAGCACCATGTCTACCTGCATGCTGCCATGCTCCCTGCCATGATGACAATGGACTAAGCCTCTAAACTGTAAGCAAACGACCACAATTAAATGTTTTCCTTTATAAGAGTTGCTGTGGTCATGGTGTCTCTTCACAGCAATAGAAACCCCAAGACACCAACAAACAAACATTTATTTATTTATCCATCTATTTATTTTAATAGATCCACTCTTCCTTGAGGTATTGCTACTGCAGATCTTCATTGTCTCCTTGACTAGAGAATAGGCTTAATTAAGAATTACCTAGGAGACTCACCTCCAGTTTGTGGAGGAAAGACCCACTCTGAATGAAACTGGTATCATGCCAAGGGCTGGGGTATTAGACTGACACAAAGAGAAAACAGAGAAAGCTAGCTGAGTACCAATGTTCCCTTTCTCTGCTTCCTGATCTGCAGAGATGTGAGGATTCTCCCACTGCCACCTGCAGAGATGCGAGCCATCTGCCACTGCCACACCTGCAGAGCTGTGAGCCATCTGCCACTGTCACACCTGCAGAGCTGTGTGTCATCTGCCACTGCTACATCTGCAGGGCTGTGTGTCATCTGCCACTGTCACACCTGCAGAGCTGTGAGCCATCTGCCACTGCCACACCTGCAGGGCTGTGTGTCATCTGCCACTGCCACACCTGCAGAGCTATGAACCATCTGCCACTGTCACACCTGCAGAGCTGTGAGCCATCTGCCACTGTCACATCTGCAGAGCTGTGAGCCATCTGCCACTGTCACATCTGCAGGGCTGTGTGTCATCTGCCACTGTCACACCTGCAGGGCTGTGTGCCATCTGCCACTGCCACACCTGCAGAGCTATGAACCATCTGCCACTGTCACATCTGCAGAGCTGTGAACCATCTGCCACTGTCACACCTGCAGAGCTGTGAGCCATCTGCCACTGTCACATCTGCAGAGCTGTGAGCCATCTGCCACTGTCACATCTGCAGGGCTGTGTGTCATCTGCCACTGTCACACCTGCAGAGCTGTGAGCCATCTGCCACTGCCACACCTGCAGGGCTGTGTGTCATCTGCCACTGCCACACCTGCAGAGCTATGAACCATCTGCCACTGTCACATCTGCAGAGCTGTGAGCCATCTGCCACTGTCACACCTGCAGAGCTGTGTGTCATCTGCCACTGTCACACCTGCAGAGCTGTGAGCCATCTGCCACTGCCACATCTGCAGGGCTGTGTGTCATCTGCCACTGCCACACCTGCAGAGCTATGAACCATCTGCCACTGCTACATCTGCAGGGCTGTGTGTCATCTGCCACTGCCACATCTGCAGGGCTGTGTGTCATCTGCCACTGCCACATCTGCAGGGCTGTGAGCCATCTGCCACTGTCACATCTGCAGGGCTGTGTGCCATCTGCCACTGTCACATCTGCAGGGCTGTGTGCCATCTGCCACTGTCACATCTGCAGAGCTGTGAGCATGCTCCTGTTGCCACCTGCAGAGATGGAAGGTTCTCCCACTACCTTCTACAAGTGCCTTTACTGCCATGCTTCCCCTCCCCCCCATGATGGGCTGTACCATGTGCCAGAATTAACCCTTCCTTAAGTGACTTTTGCCGGGTATTTTGTCACAGCAATAATAAAGCAACTAATACTGTAAATTGGTACCATAGAGTAGTGTCATTACTATGATGAAGCTGACCATGATGTTCTTTATTTGTGAGAGGAATGTTGAAACATTTGAAATTTGAGGCTGGAGAAGTCCTAGAATGTTATACACTACACACAATTTAGTGGACCATTCTGGTTTGAGCTCAGAAGACCAGGATGCCAAGAAAAACCCAAGTGGAAGCTGGGTTCATGAGGTGTCAGAAGGGAGCAAGGACTTGCAGTCAATGGATTGGAGATGGTGTTCTAGTTTGGCAGTGAACTTTTGCTCTTGCCCTGAAAAGTTGAACGAGGCAAAATTCAACATCTATACTTGCTAAATATATTTATAATTGAGGAAGAACATTGCACCTTGCCATGAGGGCAAGACTCTACTCACTGAAAACCCCAGCTTGTAAAAATGTAAATTCCTCTGAAAGGAGAGAGACTGAACTGAGCAGGCCACTGAAGGAGTTCCCACTGAAAAACAGTCATCTAGGATAATGTTTTCCCAGGGTCAGCCAGCAAGGCTCACAAAGGGTACATCTTTAGCTGCCAGCATAACTTGATAAGTCATCTACATGACGTTAATTTTTCAGGCATGCAAAATGGAAGATTTATAGGGCTAGGGAGAAAGCTGCTGAGGCAAGGCAATGTTTGGCATCGTGTGAGTGCGGGTGACCAAGGTCAGGTTCCCTGAAAAGATGTTCATTGAGTGAGGCTGGGAAGGTAGAGCCTATGTTGAAATAGAGACTCTAGGATATGTCAGGCGCTAGGACTGTGGGCTCTGCACTTAGAAAAGCCGTGGGCATGGAGACGCATACTCACTCAAGCGAGATGCTGTATGTACTGCAGATAGAACAGGAAGGAAAGGGATCCGCAAGGCTGTTAGAAACCACACAATGCCACCAAGAGCCCCAGATGCTGAACGCGGAGCTGCATGATGCGTTTTCCCTGTTGAGTTTTGGTCTTATTTTAGTCTGACCTTTCCTTAGTATGCTCCCATTCCTCCTGTCTGGAACGGGCATGTTTACCCTGTGCTATTTTATAGTGGAAGTACACATATCTTGATTTTTTTTTTATTTTATAAGGCCTCACAGTTAACAAATTTTGTGGTGTTTTTAGAAAGGATTGGATTGTGGGCTTTTGAGCAGCATTAGAACGTTTAAGACTATGGGCGCTTTTAGAAATGGACTAAATGGAATTTTGCATTATGAGATGAACACGGTACTTTAAAGGCCAAGGAGGAAAGATATGATTTAAAATTATTTGATTGGGTGTCAAGTTCACAAGTGGTGGGGCTTGGATAGTTAAATCTTCATTGCTAATTTCACTGGATGTAGAGTGACCTAGGAGATAGATGTGCCTGCTAGCATTTCTGTGAGGGAGAAGAAGAGGGATGACTGTTGTGTGGCCTCTTTCTCTAGACCTAACATGTTTACCTCATTGCCATGTTGCCCTAATTGGTGGCCTTTTATGAGACTTGGATAGGAATTGAGTAAAGGCTAAGGTAATGTTTATTGAAATTGATAATTTTTGAGTATATTACTGGCTAAACCCAGTCACTGAAACTGACTCCACAGGATTCAATGCCCTCTTCTGGTCCCCTTTGGGCACCTGCACTTACATGGTACATATATAGACATGTAAGGCACAAATGCGTAAATAAAACTAAATTTATTTTTTAAATTACAAAAACATGAGTGCCTAGAAGTTGAGAGTACAACTAATGGTAGAGCACTTGACTAGCATGCTTGATATAGGTTGGAGTCCCAGCATGGGCTGAGGGGCAGGAAAAAGCATGGATATGCCAGGAATATTGGCATATTACCATATACCTGTAATCAAAACTTCTTGGAACAAGAGGATCTTTAGTTCAAAGCCTGCCTGAGTTACATGGTGAGTTCAAGACCACCCTGAACTCATAACAAGACCCTATCGTAAAAAAAGAGAAAAGAAAAAGAAAAGAAAACCTAGGCAGGGTGGTACATGCCTTCAACTCCAGCACTCAGGAAGTAGAAGCAATGGATGTCTGTGAATTCAAGGCTAGCCTGGTCTACAGAGTGAGTTTCAGGGAGGCCGGAACTGTACAGTGAGACCCTGCCTCAAAATTAATGAATCAATTAAAAGAAAACAGTGAGGATGGGCTTAGGGCTATAGCAATTATTAAAAACACTTTTCTAGCACATGGAAGCCCTTAACCCAATCTCCTGAGCAACAGCATCAGGAACCCTAGAGATTTCAATTGGTTTTATCGACTTTAAGTTCTACAAAAAGGTATTAAGGATATGAAATTTACAGACTGATTTAATTAAAAAACAAAACTAGATTTAAAAAACCTCAAGTTCCAAAGCAAAATAAAATTAAGAACATTTGTTTGGTGGGCTGGGATATAGCTCAATGGTAGAGTGTGTTTCTAGAATGCAGGAGGTCTTAGGTTCAGCCCCCAGTACCAAAAAATGAGGAAGATTTGTGTGTTTCCAGTAAGTTCAGGTACACAAAGTACGAGTTCTGTGGACTATACTTTAGTAAAAATTGGTCTCAAGTTTTCTTATTTGAAGGAAAGGGTTAATAATGTCCATCCTCCATGCTCTCAAAGCTACTTTGAAGGTCAAGTGAATTGCACACAAAAGCCTTTTGTCAATGCATGGTACTTGAGGATGTGGCTAAGTCTAACTCTACACTATTTGGGTGACTTATGCCCCAGAGGGGGCAAGGGTGTGATGAGACTTGGCGATTTCAGAAGAATGGACAATGGCAAGAAAAGGTCAACCGAGGAAGCTCTACTGACAGGAAAAGAGACTCCATTTCAAGGAACAATTGTGAGCAGACAAAGGTTTGCACTAGAAATCAGAAAAGGGCTTGTTAGTGAGTGGAAGTGCCTAGGAGAGACTAAAAGCTACTCATAAAGTGTGATTTGTATCTAGACATGGTGCACAGCCATATTCCCAGAACATAGGAGATAGGAGAGGCTGAAGATCCGAGTTATCCTGGACTACACACCAACACTGAGGTCAGGCTGTGCTGAGTAAGCCCTGTTTCAAACCCTGATGATTCGTGTGAGGAAATTTGCTTTAATCACGGAGGCCTGGAGAGATGACTCAGCAATTAAGAGTACTGGCTGCTCTTTCAGAGGACCCAGGTTCAATTCCCAGCATCCACATGTAACTCCAGTTCTAGGGGATTCAACACTCTAACAGACATACGAACACACAAAACACCAATACATGTGAAATAAAAATTAAAAAATAATTAAAAATAATTTCAATAGAATATATGCTAGTTATGGTTTTTGATAAGAAAATATCACAGGCCCAGGGGTATACATAACAGAAATATATATGCTCAAGACTCTGGAACATGGAGCTAGAATTGTGGCATACCCCCTGTAGCCCTGGAACTCTGCCATCTATAGGGCCTGTGGTGATGTATGTAGACATGACGCCTCTCCTGAGGATGCTGTTTCTTGATCTCTTCCAGGCTGCAGCTGGAGCTCCTTCCCACTTCCCCATGCTGCAGTGGCGCATGACAAAAGTTAATAGTATTCATTAGCCCACTTGCATTTGGAGCCTCTTGCCTCATCCCAGTTCCAATTGGTTTACCCTTTTGGCTTAGCAACCACTCCCAGGCCCATATCTGGGGCTTCTTCAAGTTTCACTGATTGGATAAGCGTGTATATGTGTGTGTTCACACACACACAGAGCTCAGACGATGGCTTTCAGGAGTCAGGTCTTTCCTTCCACCATGTGGGCTCCAGGGGATGCTGGTCAGGCTTGATTGCAGTGCCTCCCATGCTCAACCATCTCTCTGTCCCATAGTTGGAGTTTTCGATGGGAAGCAAAAGAGCACCTCTCCCTTGCGTGTTTCTCAACTTGGGTCCTTCCTGGACTGCGTTCTGTTCTCCTAGCTATGGTGGCAGGCAGAACCTGTGCCTTTCATCATCCCATCCTGTTGCTGGACTCAAGGAAATGGACACCGGTCATCGCCTTCTACTCTCCTTTTGTTTCAAATGACAGTAACATTTAAAAATTTTTCAATATGTTTTTTAAAATTAGAAACATGCATGCTTCACATGTCAATCCCAGCTCCCTCTCCCACCCCTCCTCCCTTGTCTCTCCACCAGCCCCCCCCCCCAGTCCCCACATCATTCTCCAGGGAGGGTGAGGCCCTCCTTGGGGGGGATCTCCAGAGTCTGTCATTTCATCCAGGGCAGGGCCTAGGCCCTTCCTCATGTGTCCAGGCTGAGAGAGCATCTCTCCATGTGGAATGGCTCCCAGAGTTCATTTGTATGCCATGGTGAACACTAATCTACTACCCAAGGCCCCAGAGATTTCTGAGGCCTCCTCAATGACACTACATTCATGGAGTCTGGATCAGTCCCTTGCTGACCTCTCAGCCATCAGTCTGGGGTTCAAGAGCTCCCCCTTGTCTGGTCAGCTGTCTTTGTGGGTTTCACCAGCAGGGTCTTGACCGCCTTGCTCATCACTCCTCCATCTCTGTCACTGGGTTCCAGGAGTTCAGTTCAGTGTTTAGCTGCAGGTATCTGTCTCTGCTGCCATCAGTCACTGGATGAAGGTTCTAGGATGGCATATAAGGTAGTCATCAACCTTATCATCAGGGAGGGGCATTTACTGTAGTCTCTCCACTATTGCTTAGTTTGCCAGTTGGTGTTATCCTTGTAGATCTCTAGAGATCTCACTAGTGTCAGCTCTCTCCTCAAGCCTATAATGACTCCATCTATTATGGTATCTTTCATCCTGCTCTCCTCTATTCTTACCCTGACTCAACCTTCCTGCTCCCCCATGTCTTCTTCTACCCTCCTCTTATCCCACTCTTTTTTTCTTGGTTCCCTCTTCCCTCCCCCCATGTTCCCAATCTGCTCAGGAGATCTTGTACATAAAAACCCGGTGATTTTTAATCAGCTACTGATTGTTTTTCCTCTTCACGTCCTTGGCTCAATGTGGAAAAAGCAACCTTATCTTAGTGGCTCTCTGATGAAACTGACTTGTAGAGACACTATGCTGGTCTAGACTTTTCATTCTTGGATCACAGTTCCTGTGTCTGAATTTTCTAATGGTTCCCTTAAAATATAGTTGGCAGGGAATGAACTGTAGGCACTTTAAAACACAATTTGACAAAATTTCTGTAAACAAATTCCTAAAGCTCTTATCAAAAAACATACACGCAGGTCACTCACAACTGTCTCCGTGTTCACACTGACGAGGTCTCCTTCACCCTTCCCATTGTCCCTCCATAGCCCAGGACAGTGCTGATCTTTGTCACCATGAAATGGTATCATTTTTAGAAATGTAAATGAATTTTTACAACACTTCTTTTTTTGTGGCTCCTTTCACCAGAAATAATTATTGTGACCTTAACCTGGATTTGTGTATGTTTATTGATTTATTTTGCTAATAGTATTCTGAGTGTAGCAAAATTTATTCCTTCACATGTTGAGGGATTTTTTATTGTTTTCTGTTATTAAATGTGAAACAGTTTAAAAATAAGAATATATGAAAGGGAAAACATAAAAACACAGGAGCAAAAAAGACAAACAAAATCCTGAAAACTGACCAACTAACCAGTAGCAATCACTTAGATAATGTATTAGAGCAATTTCTTTCTCTCTTTGGCCTCTTAAGGGCATATACACATGCACTCACCCCCCTCATCCCACACATGTGCACACCCCCATTTACCTCTATACTTAACACACACTCACACCCCACACATGTATATACAACTCATACCCCACACATACACACTCACACACACATCCCAAACATACACACACACCAAACACATATCACATATTCACACTGACACACACACTACCTATGCCCACACTCACCCCCTTCATACACACACACTCACATGCACCCCATGAAGTGTGTGATGAAATAGTTGACTAGTGAAAGAAAACAAAAGGTCAACTGAAAAATAATCAGTAAGCCGCACAGAGCTGGGCTATTCAGCTCCTGGCATGGGGAGGGGAAGTGGAAACCTCCCCTAAAAGGTAAACCAGATGGCCCTGGTGAGAGTCTGCAAGTTCTATCCACAGGACAAGTCCATGGTTCCTGCAAGCCTCAAATGTCTTTGGGGTTCTTGTGACACAGTGATGCTTTTGGCATGAGTCAGCAGAGGAGAGTAGGCTTCTTTTGTCATCTTTTCTGCTTGGAGGCCTGTGTCTGGGTGCCAATTTCATGTGGAACCTATTGATTGAGACTGAGCTCTCCCTAGGCCTGATAACAAGGAGCAGAAAAGTTAAGGAGCCTGTAGTCAACCGATATGTCCCTGAGTGGGGAGATGGTGACTGCAAGAAGCAGGTATGGTTTGGGGGAGAGATGGATGTGCAGACATGCTGAGGACAAGCTGGGCTTTGCACAGCATGTGTAAACATGCTCCATACTTCCTCAGCTCAGCTTCCTCCTTGTGTGTTACACATGCAGTCACTTAAGTACAGCTGTCTATTTCCCTCCTCCATTAGCTCCCTTGTTCTTCAGCAAATTAAAAATGCTTCATCTATCTTTAGCTCCAGCTTCTTTGCTGGGTTCTGATACACAACTGACACCCAAGTATTACTACTCTGTTGTGTTGATGTCACATCAAATTCATTATAGCATAGCATCTCCCCCCAAGGCAACTCCAAGCTTCCTAACACAAAACCTTGGGAACCACCCTACACTCTTCCTTCCTTTCCAATCTGCACACTTAGTGTGTTACAAAGACCTGGACACACTCCCTCTTGCATTGCCCCTTTCTGGTTCTCACCCTTGTCTAGCTGTGAACTACTGTAAGACCTGCGCCTTTCCCTCTGACTCGTCTAACCCATTATCACCAGTTTAACTTTCCTCTAGCCTAGCACTGTGTACACTTGACTTCCTGCTAAAAGTCACCTGATGGGTCCTTGCTGATCACCGAGTGATTTCAACACCTGCAGCTCAGAGTTCCCCCACCTTTTCTCTTTCCTTAGCCACCGTGTAAGTGGGGAGAAATGTTCTGCATTTTTTCTGCTGCCATGATCTTTGTGTCAACCATTTCCATTGTCTAGATTCAGATACTCAAGCTCTTGGCTTTATCTATGTGTGCCCAGTTTTTCATTCAAAGCCGAAGAGACTCATCAAGGAAGAAGTATTTCTGATAGTTGATAGTTTACATGGACCTCAAGTCTTGCCTTAACTCCTGTGGTCTGTAATGTGTATACCACTAATGTGACAGTATGCATTTCCTTTTACTGCTTTCTATCTTTTTTTTTTTTACATTGGAAATTCTTTTCAAAGAAAATTAAATTTTGTGAGAGTAGGAATTTGGTTTTAGCTTGTCATATTTCCATGGTAAAAATTTTTTTTCTTGTGAGGCAGTATCTCATGCAGCCAAGACTGGCCTATTGCAAAGACAGGCAGAGACATCCCTGGACTTAACTGACCAGCTAGTATAGTCAAGCAGATGAGTTCCACATTGAGTGAGAGATGCTGTCTCAGAATAAGGTGGAGATGGATAGAGAAAGACACCAGCATAGACTTTTGGCTCCCACAAATACATACAGCTATGCATATGTGGTGATAATTTGTTTGTGATCTAACAAATAAAGCTTGCCTGAAGATCAAAGTGCAGAGCTAAGTCACTAGTTAGCTATAGAGGCCAGGCAGTGGTGGCACACACCTGTAATCCCAGAACTTGGGAGACAGAGGCAGATGGATCTCTACGAGTTCAAGGACACCCTGGGCTACACGAAATTGAATCAGTCTAAAAGAGAATCAAAGCTCACACCTTTGATCTTAGCACTTGGGATCACATGCCTTTAATCCCAGCACTAGGGAGGTGGAGTGATGAGGCTCAGAGAATTCTGTCTGAGTATTCAGAGACAGGATGTCTATTCAGTCTGACTATTTGGAGAGGTACAAACTCTAGTGGTTGGCTGCTCTGCTTATCTGATCTTTCAGTTTTCACTACTATATTTGACTGGGTTTTTAAATTCTCGATACACATACCTGCACACCCCCCACACACATGCACATACACACACACCAAAGTAGTGCTAGCAAATACTTGTTTTTACTTATATTGAAGTTGTGTCTACAGAATGGCACAATTCAGAAGCAGGGTGTGAGGGAAGCCAGGGAATATTATTTTTGGCAAATGTGGGAACAGGCGATTCAAGTTGCCTGATGGGGCATGCAGTGTCTATTCTGGGACGGAGCCTTTTTTTTTTTTTTTTTTTTTTGACGGGTCGGGGACAGGGTCTTGCTATGTAGCTCAGGTTGAGCTCTAACGCCTGATCCTCTTTCCTCAGTCTCTCTATGGCTGAGATTGTCACATGTGGTGACAATCTCAAGCTAGTGCTGCACATAGGCTCAACCCAGAGGCTCTAGAAACTATTTCTCACTAGAAGCGACTTCCTGGCCTACTAGCTCCAAGAAAGTAGGCTGGCTTGGTAGCTGCTGGAGGGCACTGGCCCAGGAGGAAGACCTGCCGCCTGGGGTGAGGAAGGGCCAAGGGCTCGCCCCTCACAGGAATCCATGGGCTAAGCAGCCGCTCGGGCCTTGGCCGCGATCCCGGGAAAGAGGAGCAAGGGGCTTTCCACCTGCCCCTGACCTAACCCCGGTCGCCAAACTTCTCAGGTTCCAGGGTTTGGACACCCACTCCCGAAAGGGGCCAGCTCCTCCCCGCCCACTTCCCCGCCCCTCCCCGCCCACTTCCCCGCCCACTTCCCCGCCCCGCCGAGCCTCACCCACCTCCCCGCCCCTTCGCCTTACGGGCTCGCTCCCGTGAGGGGTGACGGAGGCGCGCTTGCTCCGTGGGCGGCGAGTGCGCAGGCGCTTTCGATGGTTCTTTGGGGCGCCAATTCCGGACGCCGGTGGCTGGTAAGAGCCTCGGGATGCCGCGGTGGAAGGCCGGCCGGCGAGGGGAGGTTCCGGCAGCGGGTGCGAACTGACGACTCCGGGGCTTGTCCCACGGCCTCACCTTGCCCCGGGGCCCTCGGCGTGCGGCCGTCCTGCAGTGGTGACGCGGCCTGGCCGCAGTGGCCCCGGTGATTCTGTCCCTGCCGCCTTCTATCCGGGGGCGAGAGTCCCTCGGGTGCCTCGGCAGGGGAAGGGAGCGCCCTGGGACTCGGCGGCCTGGCTCCTGTCAGGATGCGCCTGCTACCTGCGCGTGGCTTTCTGAGAAAGTTGCTGAGTTGCGCTTACAGGTGGAGCAGCACTCACCTGTTTAAGGGGGAAATTGCCCGGCGTGGTGGCGCTGGGAAGCAGACGCAGGTGCAACTCATGGAGTTCCAGGCCAGTTTGGTCTACAGAAGCGAGTCCTAGGCTAGCCAGAGCAGCAGTGAGACCACATAGGACTCAGAAAAGTTGGTCTCCTTCGCTCTCCCCTCCTCTCCCTTCTCCTGCACCCCTTTGCGCCTCCCCCCAATTTAAGTGGATTCCTGCTTTCTGCCAACC